CACACACACACACACCTCATATATAAATGTGTGTAAACAAAAGCTCATCTGGAAGTCATATTGCAGACCCACGCGGAGCGAACGCCGNGAGAGGTGCTCATTATCCACATTAGACAGCAGGAGGGTGGTGTGTGTGTGTGTGTGTGTGTGAACAGCAGAGGTGCAGTGTTAATGCAGTCCTGCAGCTCCAGCTATTCAGCTTATAAACTCATACAACTCTTTCTTTCTTTAAAATAAAACACACACACACACACACACACACACACCACATGCTCATGCGGGTGTCCGCCAGGTGTGCTGGTTTCCTCTCCCCATCCAAAATCATGCAGCGTAAGTTGATGGAGTAATCCTCATCAGCACACAGACATGCAGTCCAAACACATGCGCTATAGGGGAACTGACCAACTACACTGGCTGTAGTGTATGAGTGTGTGTGTATGGGGGTTTCCCAGTACTGGGTTGCAGCCAGAAGGGTATCCGCTGTGTAAAGCATATGCTGGAATAGTTGGCGGTTCATTCCGCTGTGGTGAACAATAGGACTGAGCTGGAGGAAGGTAAATGAGTGAGTGTGTGAGAGCTCGGTGTCGTCTCGGGCGCCGCTGTGGCAGTAGTGTGTGTGAGCTGCAGAGCTGTGTGTTCGCTGTGGTTCGGGACTCTTACATGCGCCACGTTCTTCAGCTCCAGGGAGAAAACAGGAGAACTTCCTGTGGGCAGCGGAGGATCCTCATAGGCCACCATACTGGGACAGGAAGAGGAATTCTGGGAGAAAAACAGGAGGTCAGAAAACATGAGACGGTGTGTGTGTGTGTGTGTGTGTGTGTGTGAGTTGACCAGAGGAAGGGTGGTCACAGTGAAATGCAAACATTAGTTATTTCTGACTCTGTAAACACACACACACACACACACACGCTCTGCTGCAGTGATTGGAGGAGTCATGTTTGGTTGTGTTCCCTCATTGACAGACCAGTGTGTTTTACAATGTAAACAAGTTATGTGTGTGTTTGTCTCTGTATGTGTGTTAAGCGTGCGTGCGTGCATGTGTGTGTGTGTGGGAGTCTCTCACCTGCAGAAGCTGCTGTGTGTTGTTCTTGCTGGACACACACTGATGGAGCTGCGGGTCCCAGAAACACCGCCAGGCTGAACTCAGACAACTAGTGCACCTGTGGGACACACACGCACACACACACACACACACACACACACACGCACACACACACACACACACACACACACACACACACACA